CTGAGAAAAAGAAAGAGAGAGTGCACTGACTGGGCAAGAACGGCACCGCGTGCCGTGCCCGTGCAGTACTTTTCTCTTGTTCTGCCGTTGTGTAATGGACACCGACAGATCTTCTCATTAAGCTTGATGATTAAGTTAGCGTCTCTCCGACGACTTCACTTTAGCTAGCTCAGCCAACCAACTAGACAACCAACCAGCCGACTAACTAACTAACAAACTCTCCTTTTTCTTCCCCACGCTCCTTCTTTCTCCCTCTTCTAATTGGCAACACACAAAAAAACTTTCTCGTTTTCTCGCACATCTCATGATTACTCTCTTTTACACAACAACAATCAACAATGCAGAAATACTGCAAGCACTTCGAGGCAGAAAAAATCGGATTAGCCGAGTTGGTCCATCTAAATGAGGAGCGACTGCAGAAGCTAGGTTTGCCGATGGGGCCGAGGCTGCGACTGCTGCAGGAGGCGAAGAATCTGGCGGCGATGATGAACGGAACTGGCTGTGGAAAGGCAGTGCCCAGTGGGGCGACGGGACGCGACATTGGAGGCGGCAATGGCGGTGCAAAGCAGTCGGCGCCTGCTGGAAATGGAGTGCAGGACACTTTTAACATTTACGCTGTCGTTTAGCAAATGGACGGCGAGCAGCTTTGACAGTTCAGCGGAGATTGCACCACTTTGATTGACTGCACCACCTGCACCCACTGTAAATAGTGCACAGATTGTGCCACCACCATCACCACCACCACTACCAAAAGTGCAGTCCATTTAACTCTCTGTACTCATCACTCTTTCTCACCCACGCTACCTACACACAAGTTTGCTATGTTTGATGTCCAGTCTGACACACGTTCACATTCACACATACACTCACACTTACACTCACACTCACTCAGACTTCCACCGTAGATGTTACTGTGCTCTCGTTATCACACTTTTGTTTCTCTATGTATGTAAGTATGTAAGTAACCACAAGAGACCTTTTCCTTTTCCTCATCATCACGCTATTACTGCCTTTTGAAAATGAAAAATATCATTCCCATTTTTGTCGAATTGGACCACCAGTCTACATGCTACATCTGTCGGTAGATGAAAGTAGTAATGCGGCGAAGGAGGGGGGGGGAAGAGGGGGAGAGCTGTCAGGTGAGCTCTATCCAAAAGCTGTCGATCCAAAAAAAGTTGAGGAACGAGTTTGTGAGCACTTGGCAGTGAAGGAGGAAGTGGTGAGCAGCAGGTGGTGAGTTTCTGCAAACTGTCGACAGCATCACTGGGCGCACTATTTTTTGTCTCATTTTGAAGTAAAAAATAAAAAGCTTGCACGGCACGAGGAAGGCACGCGTCTTCTCTTGCCTTTTGAGAGCCTCAGTCAGACTGGACTGGACTTTGAAGTCAGAGTGTGACAGTGACAGGAAAGCTCAACTCAGTGCAGCACCGCTGTCTTCTTCGTCTTTGGACTTACTAACTGACTACTGATGTTGCCAAAGCTTGCAGACCAAAGACTTACAGGGAGCTGAGATGATGATGGCGAGAAAAACGAGAGAAAGAGAAAGAGAGTCAGCTGACGCAAAATTTTGACGTGTTCTCTGTTGCAAACTCGTCCGAGTCTTGTGAAGTTTTCTCTTCACTTTCTCTTTTCTTTACCTTCTCTTTAGTTGACTCTTCAGCGGGCTCTTCAAGCTTCAGCAGCTTCAACGCCAACCTAATTCTCACTTTCACTTTGCAAACACTGTCTCTTTGCTCTGTGCTGCTCGCTTTCGAAATGGCTGAAACTGTGGTTTTTTCATGAATCAAAGTGACGGCAAAGTGCGAGTTAGTGCGACTCACTGCCAACTNTGTCCGAGTCTTGTGAAGTTTTTTCTTCACTTTCTCTTTTCTTCACCTTCTCTTCAGTTGACTCTTCAGCGGGCTCTTCAAGCTTCAGCAGCTTCAACGCCAACCTAATTCTCACTTTCACTTTGCAAGCACTGTCTCTGTGCTCTGTGCTGCTCGCTTTCGAAATGGCTGAAACTGTGGTTTTTTTATGAATCAAAGTGACGGCAAAGTGCGAGTTAGTGCGACTCACTGCCAACTGCTGAGCGCCTCACCATCGCCCAGATTTGTCCCTTTTTTCTTCTTTGCTGTTGCCGTTTATTTTGCAGCAAATGCTCAGTGTTCAGTTGTGCTCAGCAAACCCGGACCCAATTGATAATTGATCGTGTTTTCCTCCCCGTTTTACCTTCTCTCAATTTTGTGTCTCTCTGTGTTCAATTACATTTCTCATTATCCTCAACAGAGGAAGATCATCATCAGCCTCATCATCCAAAGAGCACTACCACCATCACCTCAACATGATCTACAGTCGAGCTGCCTCGCTCAGTTTGCTGTTTCTCTTTGCACTCGGGTCACATTTTGCTTCAGCACAATCGGTCAACTTTACCGACTGCGGTACGAATTGCACCTCTTCCTCTTTTTTCCTGAAAACAAAAAGACGTTTTTAAAGCCAAGACCACATTTTATATTATCAAAATGAGCTCAAATGTTTAGCCAGCTATGTTAGTTATGCCAGTTAACGCCGACAAAGTTCATTGCACATAGTTGCGTGATTCTGCCGCTAATCGTGATCACGAGTTTAATCACTTTGAAATTGGCGAAATGCAGTTTAGGGAAAGAACGAGCGAAAGTGAACAGACGTCTAATTGTTCGAGTGCTGCCGATCACTGGCGCCGTCGATCAGGTCGATCAGGCCCTAGGCTACAGAAATGCACAACCAGAAACCAGTGGCAATGCCAAAAGTTGGTCGTTCATCAGACAACAGCAAAAAAAAGTTCCTGGTCACTTAGATGGGCTATCCGTGCATATCAAACTGATGCTGCTGTCACTTTCATTCTTTATCATTCCCAGCAAAGTTTATCTAACTTTTTCCTTCTTCTGTTTTCCCCCTCTTCTACTCCACAAATCTAGGCGAAGGAAACGTCAAAGATGTGCGCATCTTTCCCTGCGCCGGCAGCAGTCCCTGCGTCATCAAACTGGGCACCAATGTCACCGTGGAGGCGGACTTTATTGCACGTAAGTTTGATCGCCCCATCTGATCAAGTTTCAGTGCCCTGCCAGTCAGAGTGCTGATGGCAATTAATTAATTAAACTTGACCACCATTCGGGCACTTACTGCTCAAGCACCAGTGACGGTGCAGGAAAACAGCGGAAATGTGCGCTAGCCAACTGCCGTCTTCGGTCGACGCTGTCGCCGTCGTCGTCGTCGTCGTCAAGCGTCGTCAGTTGGCCTGCGAAAGGTCGCGTAGTCAGCAAGTGACTTGATTGCACTTTAGGCAGCAGCAGCACGAGCACCTTTGCCTCTGGCTTCACTGCTGCTCTGTCTCCTCACTCTTCCGAGTGGATAGAGTGTGGCTGAGTGTGTGTGCCCAGAGCCGACAATTAGCGACAGGTCGAGGTCGAGGGGATACTTCTACTGCTGTTGCACTGTCTTGAGTCTGTTGTCTACTTCGAGAGTGGTGTGGCGTTCCCACTGCCACCGATAATTAAAGCAGTGCCTTTTTACGTTTTGACTACTGCTGCTGTTGCTGCTGCTTAGCTCATTGCGCTACGGACACCGCCGAGTGCGTCCCGACAAATTCGAGTCAGAGACTGACTGAGGAAGCCCATTAAGCAGGAGGCGCTCGATTGAGCTCGGGCGAACGAGCCAGTCAGCCAGTGAGGAAGGCAGGCTGGCAGCTACGTAATTCAGTTGTGACAGTTGGGCACACAGATTAGATTAGCTTATAATCATAATAAATATAATGCAGCCAGTGGTGTGACGGTGGGAACAGAGAGTCAACGACGAGTGTCCACCACCACCAGCACTTGCACCTGATACCCTTAAATTGATGGCTTCAGATTGCATTTCTAATGACTTCATCTTCCTCTTCTTTTCCTTCTTCCTCCAAAGCCTTTAGCACCAGCAAGCTCTACGAGGTAATCAAGGGCGTCATCCGCGGCCGTGAGATGCCCTTTCCCGAGCAGCGGGCCGACCCATGCAACTCCGGAAACATCTACCCGTCCTGTCCAATTGTCAAGGGAGAGAAGTACCAGTTCAAGGCGTGGTTTGAAGTGAAGCCTTTCTACCCGCCGGTAAGTGCCCCCAAACTGCTAATGGCGCAGGGAGAAAGTGGTAATCAGTTTCCGCTCTTGCTGACTAACAATTACCATTGCTCGTTTGTTCCCCCTCTTCCCCCTTCCCCCCTCCACGACAGATCTCCATCAAGGTCAAGTACAGTCTGACAGATCCCACCGGACAGAAGGTGGCCTGTGTGCAGGTGTCCACAAAGATTGTCGACCCGAACCCAAAAGGCAGCAACAGTCAGAGGGCACGCAACAAGTCAAAGGCGCTCAGAAATAAGGTTTCACCGAGCAGCGGTGGCGGTAAAGGCGCCAAGACTGTGGTTGAGAAGACGACTCCCGCCCCAACGAACAACAGCAACGCTGATGAGTAGCAATAGCACTCATGATCACCCCATGAGAACAAGAAAGCAATTTTGAATCAATGAACAACAAAATCTCTTCATTTTCACATTTTTTTTGACGAGCAATCACCATCATCATCTCCGAACATTTCTCCCTCCTTTCCTCACTCACTCCATCCACCTTTTCCTCTCGCCATTCGCTGTAACATACCTACGCCCCCATCCATTAGTGTATATTAATTTATCATCATCTAAATCACACTCACACACACCTCTACCACACACAGCCCACTTGTGATCATCAAAATAAAATTGCATCCTCACGTACATTTTCTTACTTTTTGAAAAATTGAGTCTTTTCAGTTTGAGATCTGTTTTCCTGACGCTAGATGACGCAAATGGCGGAAGTAAAAAAATTTTGAGCAAATGTCATTTCGGGCATTTGTCAGGAAATAAAAAACTGCTAGCACGTGTTTGTCTGTTGTGTTGGCTGAAGGGATTTTGAGTTGAGGCTGATTTTGCTGAACAGGATTCTCTTAATTTGTGTTTTGAATTTGAATATTCCATGATGACTACCACCTCATCTCTTCCAAGCGGCGTCGCCAAGAAGAGGAAGCTCAAGGTGAGCCGGAATAAGAAAAAGTCATGGCGAAAGCACACCGACATCAAGGAGATTGAGGACTTTCTTGAAAACAAACGCTTTGAAGAGCGAGTTGGGTATGAACTGAATCATCGCTGTGTTTATTGGATTTGACTGACCTTGTTAACCTTTTACCAGAGTCGCCGCCGCTGAAGTTAAAGATGAGGACCTTTTTATGATTGAAAAGACGGGCGATGATAAGGCGTACCAGGAGAAACTGGAAACGATGCAAAAGCGACAGGAGGCCATCAGCGTCGAGTCGTCTCGGCTTCGTGGCCTTTCAAACGGTTACAAGCTGTACGGTAAACTGGAGTCTTCGTCAAATGTGCCTGCTGTACGGTCAAAGGAGGCACCACGAGACCGAAGAAAGACGGTGCACAATGATCCGCTCAAGTTGGAGAAGTTGTGGACTGACAAGCAGGCGAACATCACCGCCGCCAGAAAGGCAAAGACCGCCAAAGCGGCCGCCTACGCTGACCCAAAGAAGAACTTTAAAACATTTGATCTTTGGGACGAAGGCAACTCCAAACCGAACTCTGAACTAACTCGAGAGGACGTTCTCGTGCATCCGCCCCCGAAGTTGAAGGTGCCCGCTCGCCTACGCAATAAGCCCTCACTACTGCCTGCCGTTGAGGTACCAGTTGGTGGCCAGTCGTACAATCCACACCGTGATGATCATAAACAGCTGATCCTCGAGGCGGCAAATAAGGAAATGGAAAAGATCAACGAGGAGAACAAGTGGGCGAAAAAGGTGGACAAGTACTTTGTTTCAAAGCAGCAGGCAGCCATCAACAACAAAGAGCTGATCGACGAAATGTCCCAAGGCCTGGGACTTGGTGACAATGAGGACGAGGAGGCCGGTAAAATGACCACTGCGGAGGATCTCGCTGAGATTGCCCAGTTTGCTAAACTGGTGAAGGGAAGTGAAAAGAAAACAAAGCAGCAACGACGACGGGAGGCACTTGCCAGACAGGAGAAAAAGGCAAAGGAAGCGGAGAAGAAGCTAAAACAAAAAGAGAATGAGATCTTCCGTTTGAAGACCTTCAAAAAGGAGCTCAATGAGCGAGACCGGAGAATGGCCCGTCGATCGGAGATGCGCGCCCAGCGACACATTGAATCGCTCTACAAGCCGAAGAAGCTGAGCAAGTACAAGTTTGAGGAGAGTGAAATTCCCCTTAATCTGCCTGGGGAGGTGTCTGGCTCGCTGAGGACGGTCAAGGCGCAGGGCAATCTACTGGAGGATCGCTTCAAGAGTCTTCAAAAGCGAAACATCATCGAGCCGCGCGTTCCGCAGAAGCTAAAGCGCAAGTTCAAGCTGAAGAAGGAGGTGAAGCGGCGGCACAAGGACGGCGCCGACGGACTGATCGTCGAGACGGAGAAGGCTTGAGATGCTTTACCAGATAACCAGATTTTATACAATCCCAGTCCTTTATCAACTGTACAACTTTTATTTGGCAGAAATAAAAATATTTTTTTGTTTGGGTGTAGTTTCCTATTTCCACAGCTGTTTTGTCGCAAAATAGCTGCCGCGCGCTGCTGCAGTGAGGAAAACAGCTGAGATTTTGGCAATTTATACAATCACACAATAGCCAATGCTTCGGCTCGGGCTTTAATTCTTCGGGTGGCCTTTTCCTCAATCCTTTTTTGCTCATTCATCCGCTTTTTCATCATCCCTAGTGGTTGCCCTTTTGAATAGCAACCCAATCCTCGGAGATTGGCCCACCAAGGAGAGGAGGAACACCGTTTGGGCCGGTCTGGTGGCATCCAACAAAAACAACAACAATACACCAAACTGGCCCATGTGAATCACCATTATCATCAATATCCTCGTCACTGCTTATCTTTTGTGCTCTTTTCTGGAACCCCATGTGACTATCTGTGATCTTCATTTTTCTGACACGTTAAGTGGTAAGTAGAAAATTGTTGGCTTGTTGTTATTTTGTTTATTGAACTTGAGCCAAAAATTGTTCCCTTTTCTTGTACTCGCCCGACCTCGGTGTAAATGAAGATTTTTTTGCGCTTGTTAAAGTTTTTGTTGCGTAAACTTGGCAGACTTTCTTCAAATGAGTTTTATTGTAAATGATATCTTTGAATTCTCATTACTTTTTGCTAGAAAAAACAGTCATCATGGTACTTGTCGCATTCTTTTAATCAGTTGATCTTTGGTGTATATTTATTTTTCGATAGTTATCAGTGTGTTTCCCTTGGCCATATCATTGTCTCAATCTCAATCCGTGACCAACAGGGTGTGGGAGTAAGCTTGCATGAAGAAGGGGCAACCCACCCGTCTGCAAGTGTATCATCATCACGAAAGTAAACACTAAATTTCTGCCCCCGCCTTTTGAGAATAACCAACTATCAACAATTTCAATTGCATTGATAGTAGTGTTCTTTCGCTACGAAGGCAAATGACTTCTATTCCTGGCCCTGGTGGCGTTTTGTTTATACTCACTACTGCTGTTCAAGACTTGAGAGTCTTTGTTCGGCTCAAGTATTGACTGCTACTGTTAGACGGTGGTGGTGGTGGTGGTGGTGGCGNAGAAGAAGGGGCAACCCACCAGTTTGCAAGTGTATCATCATCACGAAAGTAAACACTGAATTTCTGCCCCTGCCTTTTGAGAATAACCAACTATCAACAATTTCAATTGCATTGATAGTAGTGTTCTTTCGCTACGAAGGCAAATGACTTCTATTCCTGGCCCTGGTGGCGTTTTGTTTATACTCACTACTGCTGTTCAAGACTTGAGAGTCTTTGTTCGGCTCAAGTATTGACTGNTGCCTAAAGAAGCAGATGTGAGAATTGTGGAGTACTGTGTTTGTGTTGCAACACAAGTGCACTCGATCGGTCTTCCTCGACTGACTTTTCTTCGACAAAAGTTAACGCCACTCTTAAAAGCAGGGTTGACGCGTGTGACGCCGAAGATTGTCGAGCAGCAGCAGCACTGGCCAACAATCACCGCCGACAAGACGCGCGTAATTCGGCGACGTACTTCCATTTGACAGTGCTTTTATTTTTTCCCTTTTCTATTTTTGTTGTTTTCCTGTCTGCAAAGTTATAAAGCTCCTCCGGCTACTAATTCGATTACGGTTGTCGATAAGGACTGCAACGGAGAGAGGAAGAGTTGTGACCATTAGCCAGTGGGTAATTTGCACTTGATCACTTTCAATCGACAATGCCCTTTTTTGCCTCCACGTCCTCATTGTCATCGTCTGTGCTGTCCACTATGCCTACCACAATCTGCTCCACTCTCTATTTTACTACCCATTTGTCTTCTCTGAAAGCGTGTGAGCACTTGTCGTCGACAACAATTTACTAGGTGATAAAGTTGGCACTCACTTCTGCCTGTTCTGAAATTGAGGCGCCCGAAGAAAGTATCCACTTGAACTTGTTTACGACCGCTGCAATTACGATAATGTAGCGACACATCCTCTCTAGTGCCAAAGTACAAACTGCAGCATATCATTTTAAAAGTGTGTGTGTGTTTTGTCTGTGAATGTGATTGCTCAAGTACTCCCTTTGCACATTGGCACCAGGCGACATGATTCATCCTCGTTGTTGCTGCTGAGGTTGCTGTTGTTTGTGCTGACTGTCAAGGCAACGAGTGCCAGTTCAATAGTGCTTCGCTGTGTCGACTGACTTGCTGGCCGATCATGAGTGTGTGTCTGTGTGTATTTCTCGACTTTGCTTGGGTCGCCTCGCTCTGATTGTCGCCGCCTCACTCCCTTCGTGCATCTGCATTTTATATTTGTCGCCTTTTCCCTATCGCTTTATGTCGAATCAGCAGCAGCAGCAGTGCAGAAGAATCAGTTGCACACTGCTGTTGCTGATGCTTGCAATGGCAGTGATGGTGCTGCTGCTGGTGGTGGTGCACTTTGCGAATTAATTAGTCGCACACGCGGATCCCCAAGCGAGATGCAGCTGCACCTCTGAAATGATGTGTCGGAAGCTTCACCTCCTCCTCTGAGAAGTCTGCTGAGACTTCTCCGACTGCCTCCTTTGATTCCAATCTCTTTCTCTTTAGGCGCCCGTAGTATTACGGTGCCTTGCAGTAGACACAATCTCCGCTCTGCTGCTGCTGCTTCTTTCAATTAATCGGCTCACTGTACTGCTTTTGGCTGCTGCTGCTGCTGCTGGGACCCCATCGTGACAGCAGCTTGTGCAACAGCAGCAGCACCCGAAGCATCATCAACAGCAGCAGCAGAAACCATGTCCACTGTCATGTTGAAAGGGCACTACGACTACTACCACCACTTTTTGTTGTCTTGCTGAGCGTTTGCATCAACGGCAGTGACAGCGGCAAAAACTAAGCCATGCTGAGAGAACAGGCAAAACAGAGCAGAGGAGACAGTTATAAAAAAGGCTCTGGCTTCCTGCCTTCCTCTTTTCATCAGCAGCATCGGCTCTTGATTGTGTTTCATAATTTAGTAGGGCAGGATAAAACAGGAGAAAACAGTGAGGACAGGACTCATCAACTCTTTGCTGATCTGCTGCCTCACTGCCTACTGGTTATTTCTGGTAATAGGCTGCTGTTGCTGTAGCTACTACAGCTGCAATTAGCTCATTGCTGTCCACTGGTTATTACTTCCGACTTGCTACCAGGATTGCTGGACTAATGCTGGTAGGGCTAATTTGTTGTGATGCTTATCCTCAATATGTTAGCAAGGAATTCAGGAGCATGTTAGTGGATAAGACAAGGCCAGTTAAGGTTGAATTAATTCAATTACTACGCCAAGACGGCTATTAGGTTTGTTTGTTGCGCAGGAATGGAGCAACGAGCATTTTCTTTGCTGTGCCAGACGCTGAGCAGATAAAAGGGGCGATTTATTGAGATGTGCACGTTTTGTGTGTTCGACGAGTTGCTGGCCGATCAGCGCTGTCACAGCTTCCTCTCTTTGCACTTTAGCACATTTTGCCATCACTTTGGCTGCTGGTAGTTATTCTTTCTTTCTCTTATTCAATTTGCAGGCAATTCACTTCAATTTAGTTTCAATTTAGAGGGAAATAGCATGCAAACGATTCTGTTGTTCTTTTCAAGTGTGTGTGTGTGTATGCGTGTGTCTAGGCATTCTAACCTCGATTAAGTGGAAGTCGATTCTGCATACTGCCGCCCCTGTTTCTCCATCTGATCGTTTCACATTTTCAAGCTGCTAAGTCTGCCAACGGTAATGAAGAGAAATGGCTCAATTCAATTGAAAGAGCAAATTGAATGCTGCTTTTTGTTGGCGTCTATAGCGCACAAATACTGGGAAGCACTACAGTTACGTGCTGGTGAAAGCGATTCGGTAGCTCTAAAAAACTCCGTTACGTTTGAACTGCTTGTGCGTCAATTTGGCAGTCGTTTAAAACTTTTCATCTTTCAATTTTTTATTACTGCCTTTTCTAAGTGGAGACAACTAGCAAACTGCCCGACCACTGAATGAGCTGTGGTGTTTGTCTTTGCTCAAAAGTGTAGAAACGATGTGTCAGTTTATCTGCTGCTGGAAACTATTGAGGATAATTGGCAATTTTCACTCACTGATCAAATGGCTGGCTCTTTTTGGTTAAAAGGGAGGCAAATGCATTAGCATTAGCAACTTTGTCTATGTGCCCTGTGCAATTGCAAATTACTTTCTTATATACTTTGCTACGGCTGGACTTGTTTGGGAATGATCTCATTTCGGTGTTCAACTGCTGCAATTAGCGCACTGCTAGGAAGAACAATAAATTGTTTGCTAGGTTGAAAGCAATTGGCAATTAAAGTTGTCTTTAATATTCATTGTCCGTTTCTCTTCCCTCTTTTTGTAGAAAATGTGATATTCCTACATCAAGTGGCAATCGTCGCAAAGATGTGCAGTAGAAGAAGTGCAAAGAAGCAGGAGCAATAATTACAATTACCCTCAACACCACCAACAGTGCATTTATCAAGTATTTTGGCAACAACTACTTACTACTGAAACTAAAGAAACTACTACTGCTAATTTCAACTTTACACAAACATACACAACTTAATTGCAATTACTCGGGTGATCAAAGGCAATAATAATATAACCACTGCTCAAAATGAGTGTCATTTGGAAGCGCCTGCAACGGGTGAATAAACGAGCCGCCAAGTACCGACTTGTCTTTGAGCTTCAGGAGCTGATGGTGGAGGGCACAACGCAATGGTAAGTCAAATTATCAAGTGGAAATGATTACAAAAACTTTACTTTTTGCTCAATTTGTTAGGCAACCAAACAAGCTTTCCGTCGTACTCACTCGCCGTCGTCGTCGCATAGCCAGTCAGCCAATGCACTGGGATCCGACCATTCGAAATCCGTATCGTGGTCTGGTCGTGTGGTCACTGCCGGAGATTCTGGACGTCGATGTGACGCTTTATCGAGGGCCGCGAAGCACAAAGTACGAGGACAAAGAGTGGACGATTGCAATTGAGGACATCTCGTCCACTGGTCGGCCACGGCGCATCGCCACAAAGAGCATCAACATTAGCGACTTTGTCGACGAGCAGTTTGGCGCCACATCACGTCACGAGCTTTTCAAACTGACCATGGGGATCACCTCGAAAAAAGTTAAAGAGGTCTACGTGACACTGGCCCTTTCTACCACCTTCCTTAAGGAAGGAAAAGCGACGTATGTATTTAACTTTGCCTTTACTTTGGAAAAGGGATTTGATTGATTGATTTTTTGAAAATATTAAAAACTTTTAGCGATTACGACATGGAGAGCGTCACCAGTATGATGAGCGTCTCGGCGAATGATGGCGTGCGCAATCTGGACGACGATGAGGCCGATCAGCTTGACTTTACTGAGCACTCGGCGGAAACGAGTGCGCAGCTGCTGGAGATTACCAACAAGTTCTCGGAGCTGCTGAACAGCAAAGACGATGAGGAGGAGGAGAAGGAGGAAAAGGAGAATGACGTGAAAAGCAAAGCGGAGAAGAGGCTATTCGGAAAGACAGGTCAGTACTTTTCTTTTGCGCTATTGATTTTTGTGGTCAGTTGGTGCGGTGGTGCAAAGTTTAGGAGGGCGCAATGAACTTTTGTCGCGGCTACACGTGACGCCAGCTTGCGATAGGGGAGAAGAATGTGAAGGCCATGCTTTGCTCAATGAAGGCATTCCTCATTCTTTGTGCAGGCGTACACTTCTCGGTGCGCTGTGCCACTCTCACACTGGCCACTTTGCTGCCACTGCTTTGTGTGAGTTTGATTGCGGCGGTTAGTGGGCTCCATTCACTTCTTCCTCTTTTCAGCTGTGAAGAAGTGTGCAAGCTGTCACTAATTTGCCCGCTTATTGATTGGCGCAACTGTCAATTGGCAACTGTCCATTAATTGCCAGGAGAAGTCGTAGGCGAGAAAGGGAGAAAGTGAGCTGACCACACACACACAAGTCAGTGTCTTCTGCTAATTGAAAGTGAATTATTCAGTAGTGCCCAGAAAGCATCCCTCTTGGCCGAGCTTTTTTCTGGCGTTGCAATTTGCAACCTCTCAAGGCGTCGCTAATAGAAAAGCGTCTTCTCTTTTGCTTTCTACTTAGCTAGATTTGTCTTATTCTTTCAGTCTATCTAAAAATATAAGTCTTCGTGCAGAGTTAAATAATTGAGCATGTTTCTCTCTCTACTCTTGTGAATTATTGATTGGCTAAAGGGGGAAAGAGGAAATAAGACTTTTTTAGCAGAGTACACTTTGTCGCTTTTGAGAATCTCGAACTCTTGAGGGATTAATTTGTGTCGCCCACTGATTAAGTCAGAGGGGCTACAAGAAAAAATGCTCAGACTTTAGCAGGCACCTTTTTGACAGGGCTTATTCTTTTTGCTTAGCCGAGACAGGTTTGGGATTTTTCAAAGCTTGAACAGACGTTGAGCACTGATTTTTTCTTTATATTTTTACAGTTTTAGATTTTGCAGCAGTTTCTAACTCGTTTCTTAGAAAAAAAACTGTTTTTGTTCTCACACAGACTCTTGGTCAGACCATTACTCATGTACAGCAGAATGGTTTATTTCAATTGCACAGTGTGCCCAGTGCTGCTTATCATGATCGATTGCGGCTAGTCTTTGGTTTTAGTATGTGTGTTTGTGCTTTCTTTCTTTATTTTCCACAGTCCAAGTGGAAATCCAATGGTTTTTGTTCTTTTTTGCTGTCTCCGTTTCATCTTGCAAATTCTAGGGAATTTACCTCAAACAACACTTCCACCAGTGCCACCACTAGCAATTTGGGCAGTGTAGTGTAGTGTGAGCGCTGCACTGACCAACTGGGCAATTGCAATTATATCTTCTTGTTCACACTTCTTCTTCTTTTTATTCTTCTGCTGCAGCAGACATTACCAGGAACTAGAAGACAGACACTTTGCCGTAATCTGCTCGCCACAGGGCCATATTAACATGATCTTTGATGTGTGTGTGCACTGCCAACACTGAACATAGTGTGAGTGTGTGTGTGTGCCAACAGTCGCTGTCTGATCGCCTGTCCACGGCATCGATATAAGAAGACTTATTAGATTAGCACACAGCATACAGACACACAGACAGAGAGACAGGCGGACACGATATTCGATATATTGCTGGTGCACTAGTGCGACTTGCCTTTTCACTCTTATCGCCATTTCGTATTCTGGCAATGTTTGTCGGCGATGTACATTGCTTCGTACACACACACTGGACGGGATAGCACATTCAGTGTGACTGGTGTATGTTCTCTTTCCCCCTCTCCTCTCCTCCTATCCTCCTTCTTCGTCGACATTTCATATTTGTACGTAATTAATTATTCTATTGGCCATATGTTGACTTTCGACTAGAAGACTCTCTTCTCTCGTAGAAGGCAGGCAGGCAGGCAGTCATTCTGAATGTTGCTGGACAGTTGGACAAGGCGGCGCTGGTTTTAGCTGATCTGATCAATTTGCGCTGCTGCTACTGCTGCTGCTTCTCCTAATGCGATGTGTGAGTGTCCGGTGATTAATTCAAGTCGACGGACAACTGTGGGCGACTTTGCCTTCTTCTCTATCTCCTTTTCTCTCCCTGGTACTCACCATGGCCCACTCAATTGGCACTCGATGGACATGACACAACGAAGGAGAGGAATGGAGGAAAGGAGGAATGGGGAGTGAATGTGCCACTGAATGATTAATTGCGTGGCTTAGTGGTCGGAGATGCTGAGGTCGATGCTGGGAGAGCCTAGGTTTTGCGCCTGCCGAAGAGTTGGCAGCTTCCTTGTTCGAGTATTGCGTCCAATCAGCATGCCCCGAGCATCCTTGCCACCTCGGCACAATTTCACCTCCTCTTCCTCTTACTCCTTTGTCTTTTACTTTGGCTTCTCTCTTCTACTTTCAGTCTGCAGTCTGGTCTGTTTAAGCAAAGAGAGCAAGCAGCAGCACCTCATTTGGTGGCTAATTAAAGTCTTATTTGCTTTTGCCACTGCCACCACCATCACCACAACGACNACTTTCAGTCTGTTTAAGCAAAGAGAGCAAGCAGCAGCACCTCATTTGGTGGCTAATTAAAGTCTTATTTGCTTTTGCCACTGCCACCACCATCACCACAACGACCACCACAACCATTTTGGGCAATTGGCCCCCACTTGACAGGCAATTAATTAACGCTGAACAAGAGGAGGCACAGGAGTACCCGGGCCATGTGCTTTTCTGGCTGTTTTGCCGCTGCTGAGCTCATGCTGCAGCTCATTTGCATAATCGTGCAACTAATCAATTGAAGCCATCCTTTACACAAGTACCTCTACCAGCAACACCAAAATTGCACTGCTGTTCAGTTGATGTATTAATTAGCCCATTTGCATGTGGCCCTTCAGTGTTAATGGGCAGTGAGCAGTAGTTAGTCAGCTGGTGCCGCTGTTGCGGTTGCTGCAGTGCACTCGGCACAGCCAAGTGGTCGTTCAGTTGGTCGGATTGAGTAAGAGTTGCGGCAAATGAGGCACTGCTGCCGTCCTTGTTGAAACTTCATTGTCAATTGGCACGACACACTAGGCAAACACCAACTATGTTTGCCTCTTTCTCATTCTCTGTTATCTCTCCTGCAGTCTTTGCGACAAATGCCTCGGCATTCACTAGTTTTCTGTGAGTGCGATTCTCTTTGATGTTGATGATGATGGCGGTGGCGGTGATGGTGATGGTGATGGCCAAGGACAAAGAGCAGGGGAGAAGTGAGTGTGTGGTGTCTGGCAGACACGAGCTTAGTGCACTGACATGTCGTTGATAACTCACTGAATGAGTGACTGACTGAAGCGGGGGCTCAAATTGGGCTGGCTCAAATTGACACTGGCAATGCACTGCCACCGCTAGAATCAGCAGCAGACAAAGAAGCGCCGGCTCTCTCACTCACCGGTCGTTACCGACTTTGCGGTAATTAACACGTTGACTTGCATTCAGTCATAGTGCGAGAGAGGCGCTGGCATACTATTTGCTTTGCGGAATTGAGAATGCAGCAGCAGGAACTTCTTCTGCTGCTGCTTCTGCTGTCGTTGGCCAAATTCTTTGCCGCCACCTTCGCGACACATACACGGTAAATTTGTCGTTCCGCAAATAGCACCAGCACCATTCTCTTTGCTTTCTCTTCATTCTTCACCGAGAAAGTGTGTCTCTCTGCAAAGCCTGCACTACTGTCGTCTGTCACTCGCTCACTCTCTGTTTGCTGTTTGCTGATTGCTGCTGCTGCTACTGCTGCTGCTGGTGCTGGTGGTCTTTACCAAATTACCACCCACAGCTTTTGTTGGGCCGGTGTTGGGAACAGGCAAGAAAGAGAGATCCGAGTTCGTTTTTTGTTCATCTAGTCATCTGAGACAGTGTCTGCGGCAGCAGCAACACTGCCAACACGCTCGCTTGACTCATCCACACGTCGTCTGGTGCCCGACGCTGCCTGTTATATAATTCCTCCTCTCTCTCTCTCTCTTGTTTTGCAGTCGGGAACTACACACTCTGGTTCCCTTGCGTGTGCGCAATGCTCTTTGACTCTTCTCTTGGAACGAGAGCGACGTCCAAGTGTGTGTGAGAGAGAGGACTAAAGCAGCAGCAGCAGCCGACGACGACGGTCTGCTGAATTTAAATGGCCACTTTATTAGACTAAAGAAGGCAGTCACGCTGAGCGCGCGGTTCAGATCGGCGGTGGTACTCGGTTAATGAGTGTCTTGCCTGTGCGCCCCTTTCTCTCTTTTCGCCAGACTCCTCGTGGTCGCCTTCTTTCTTTTGTTGTCTTGCACTGCCGCCACTGATAAGCAAAGGGCACCAGTATTTATTTATTTATTTATTACTTTCTCAACCAAACACAACCACCACCCAGCAGACGACGGCAAAGCAGACCAAACCGACGGACCCAGTTCAACTGGCACCAGGGAAGAAGGACCGCCAACTAAGTCAGTGTTCTACTCTACTGTCAATGGAGTGGCAGGGAAGAACGGTAAGAGCAGAGCGCTGTTTTTGTCTTGTTTGCTTTGTCTTAACGTTTGTTTTGTCTTTTCCTTCTCTTTTTCCGCTTTTAGAAGTCATCTCTTCTGTAGCAAAAAACAGTCCAAGTGGAACACCAGCACCAACAAGGAAGGCGATACAATTTGCCAGCTCTGCTGAATTGCCCGGTGCTGTAATCAATTTTAAGGCGCCCAAGCTTGGTGACAATACTGCTGCTGCTGCTGTTGCTTCTACTGCTACTGCTACTTCTGAAGAGGAGAAGAAGAGGAAGAAGGGCGCCGATTACGAACGCGTGACTCATTCGCACGAGTCGACTGCAGCCGCCTCCTCCTCCTCTTCATCTAATGCTTCGGGTGCACGGCTGAATGACAGCTACTCAGCCGATCGTGATTCCACAGTGCCCGTGATTACCGCCAATAGACAAGGCGACAAGAACAGCAGCAGCATCAGCACTGCTGTCTATTCCAGTGACGATCAAGTCGACAACGGCAACAATCTTAGGCATTTGTCGCAATCGTACGCTGCCGTTGCAGCCGCCGCAGCAGCCACCGTTGGTGATGAGTCTGATTTGAGGTCGCCGTCGTCATCGCGTGCACCAGATACCATCTTCAGTGATTTGCATTCTTCACCTTCATCCAAAGGGAAAAACTCAGCGGAAGACGACTCACGTTTACCGTCTCAACAGCAACGCGTCGACAATCGCCCCAAGTGGTAAGTGTGTGCCTGAGTGTGTAATTAACTCTTTCCTCGTATCTTTCTCTTTCCTTTTCCTTTCTATTCACCCGTTGACCGCAGCAGAAGGTGGCGGGATAGCTTCGGGCGAATTGTCAGTGTAAGATGACGCCAGTTTGTCTTGCTTCTGATCTGCCATTCCGTAATTGGCTTCTTGCCAACTCGAGAGTCAGTGTACTCTTGCCACCAGTCATCTCTTCTCATATTTTAGCTCTACTAGCAATCATCTAGTTTCGTTTTTTCTTTTTTCAATTGCATTTTTAGTACTATTCAAGGAAAAGTAGAAAGGAAAAGTGAGTTTTGAATTCAAAAATGGCTCTATTAGAGTATTATAATACAGGCAATCTATATTTATGCGCCAATTACCATTTATTTTGATCCATTTTCCATTTCTATCTTCTTCTCCTTTTCTCTCTTTTGCTGTCAATTTGGCGCACATATTGCTTTTACTTTTAGATGATGATGCTACTTTTCTAATATTTGCAGCAGTTTCGTAGCAATGAGGGGAAGGCAGAGTCAGGCGAAACGAAAGCACCAATGGAACCGGAAACAAACAGACGATGCATTTGATAATCATTGCAGGGAAGCACTGTGCTCTGCTCTGTGGCTTCCTTCTTCCTCAAAGTAGCCATTTGTCTCTGCAGTTCAATAGGCATTTCTCTCTTTTATTTCGATTGACTCTCTCTCTCTCTCATTTTTGTCCAGTCGAATGATTCATTTCCTGGTCGAACCACAGAGGACCAGAGGGAGAGAGAGAGAGAGCTGCTTTGTGTGTCCGATGGAATGCTGGTCTGCTGGTAGCGGCAATTACCGCTCGGCCCCTACACTTATCATTTCCATGCCTTCAACATGTCCAATTGCCTTCTCTCTTTAATTAGCCACAATGCGGTAATATTCAATTAGCTGTATGCTCTGCAACACTGCAATTATTATGAGGGCGCTCGCTTTGTGGCTTACTACCAGTGCGATTCGATTCGATTCGATTTATTGGTGCACCCCGCATATTTGCCTTTCTTCATTTCTCTGTGCTTTTGTGTGCTTTGGTTTCGGCACTCGATTTTGCCACGATTTTCCTTCTATCATCAGATCGATAATTGCAGTGTGTGGTCAATAATTTATTACGCATTCCTACTTTTCTGCTTTTGCTAAGCACAGTATGCCAGCACCACAAGCCTATGACTCAATTAGTTTGCTGATGAAGGACAAATGCTAACAGACAGGCACGAAAAAATTGTTTTGTTTGTATATTTACCTGTTTGCATTTGCAGATGCTTAGATGCTATTGCTAAATCTCAAATGCACACACATTCTGAGCAATCTCAAGTTTCGCCGACTGGAGCCCTGCGTTCGTTACGCTATTTGGCATTGTCATTAAATCACTGCATGAACAACGTTAGTCTTCCTAGTACCATACTTGCGGTAATTTACTGGACTGAACAGCAAACGACCAAACTGAACAATGCAAACTGTGTTTGGATAATTCTTTAATGGCCGAATTTGCCGCTGCTGAGGAGACAAATGAAATAGCTTCTACTACTACTGATGTTGCTGCTGCTGTCCAATAAGCACTGTCTGTCTCTTCTCCATTTGCATCCTAATTGGAGAGGAAGCTGCGCTTGCAAAATTGCCCCCACTAAAGTTCCTTCTTGTCGTCCATTTAGCGGAGACACCATCATACCCATCTCCAACCGCCTACTCTATTTGCCTACGCACACACACGCACACTAATCTGCTTTCTAATAATTTTCCTATGCGTCTTTTGTTCCGCGACAGTTCAGTTCCGCAGCGCCTAATTACGCCTGCTCTAGACTATGCTTCATTTTGTTTGTCACTNTACCATCATACCCATCTCCAACCGCCTACTCTATTTGCCTACGCACACACACACTAATCTGCTTTCTAATAATTTTCCTATGCGTCTTTTGTTCCGCGACAGTTCAGTTCCGCAGCGCCTAATTACGCCTGCTCTAGACTATGCTTCATTTTGTTTGTCACTGTAATGTGTGCATATTAGTCGCCACCGCAGTATGGCCACAGTGTTTCTCGTGTTGTTCACTTAATATGAGCTGTTTTGCTGCGACTGCGGTTAGCAATGCCTGCCGAATTGCCTGCAGAATGGAATATTGTTAGACGAGGGGGAGAATCGGGCAAGGGCAGCACTGACTTTGCAATGCAATTTACTAGTGCCAGTAAGTACACACTATCGAGAGGACAGGAGAACGCACTGACTGCCACCAGCAGCAGGAGTTGCTCCTGCACTCGGTGGACATTATAATGCACACACTTTTAATGTATTAAGGGTAGCCAGGCAGCAGTCGGCATAAGCTTATGGCGCTTTCCTTGGCAAAGCAAGAGAAGCAGGAGAATTCGACGTTCTCAGCGTCTCCGTCGACTACGACTTGAATTGAACTTGTTTAATGGCATTTTTCATTAGATTGCTGCCTCTCCTCCTTCTCTGGACGTTGTCGTCGCCGTGTCGCGTTTTGCCTCCTTTGTACGGCTGTGACGGTGTAGTGGCGGTGGTAGTTTTTCTGCAGGGCACTGCTGCTAACTGTATTTGTCCTCTCCTTCTCTGGCCCAGAAGTCAGTCCTCCGTTCTCTAATCAGGCGCACTGCCTAACGAGCGAATAATCGGCGGCAAATTCGTTTTTGCTCTAAAACGAACTCAAGGAGAAACCCAATCGCCAAATGCCGCACGCTTTCACTCATCGCTCACCACTGCCTTCTCCTTCTGGGCCTTAAATCAATTGGCGAAAGCACGTTTTGGCATTAACTTTTGCTTCTTTTTTGCGCCTTTTATCGACTTTGCAGCTTTGCTGCTGCCGGTTTTGCTGGGAACCACAACATCTGCTGTGTGTTTGGTTGTTTCTGCTTCTGTAGATTGGGCTTCAAGTTAAGGAACAAACTTTCTTATACAAGGTGCAGTCAAAACGCTTTCGCTTTTTTCAATTTCCTTCTGACTTTTTTTTGCTATTATCATTATTGCCAATAATTATTGTTAAAGGGTATCTACCATCTGATGGTGTGTGAGTCGTAAAATGGTCGTGTTAGAAGAAAAATTGGTTTTTGGTTTTTTAATTTACACTTTACGCTTTTGTTAGATGAGCAGATTGAAGTTTTGCTTTTCTTTTAAAAAAGACTGGGGATAGAAAGCGGTCGTTTTTAATTTGGCAGATAGTATTGTCGCTACCAGCGCCATTACCAGATTGAATGGTCAGATTGAGGAGCTTTGTGAAAGCAGACTACTGCTGCTAAAGGGAACGCAGTCCGGTCCGATTGGCCTGCTTTTGTTGGTCGGTCGGTCGGTTGGTTAGTTTTGTTTGCATTGTCTGGAGCGATCGATCGGCCAATGATTAGCCGTGTGATTTGCAGCACTCTTTTTCTGCAGTCCTTTCACTTTCTCTGTCTTTCAGTGTCTTTCACTTCACTTGGCTCGACCGAATGTTTGATTGATGCTTCTGGGCGACTGCTGTCCATTAATCTGCCTTTGATTCGATTCTAATGTGGCTACTCTGTCTGACTATTTTAGTTTGCGCATCCTCTCTTTCTCTCTTTTTTCCTCTCTATTTCTCATTCATTAATATTCCTCTCCATCACAGGACTGGTCCGAGTATTGACGAGTCAGCATTTCTCGAGGACAACTTTGACGCTGCTCTTGACAACGGCTCGGAGATGCCCGTCTACTCGGCGGCCGATGAGCTGCTGAGCTGGTGCAAGAAGGTGACGGAGGGCTACGCGGGCGTGAAGATCACCAACATGACCACCTCGTGGCGGAACGGCATCGCCTTCTGCGCCATCATTCATCACTTTCGCCCTGACTTGATTGACTTTGACAGTCTGAAGCCGACTGAAGTGGAGCGCAACTGCGGCCTCGCCTTTGACACCGCCTTCCGCCTGGGCATACCGAAGATCATCGAGGCGAAGGACATGATCACGCTGACAGTGCCCGACCGGCTCTCTGTCATGACCTACCTCTACCAGCTCAAGTCCTTCTTCAACGGACCGCACTCGCCGACCCGGGTGCTGAGCAAGGCCAACAGCTACTCAATGGCGCAGTACAATGTCCTCGAGGAGGAGGAGGCAGAGGAGGACAGCGCTCAGGTGGCCGCTGTGGGCCGAAGCATCAGCAGTCAGATCAAGTCAAAGTGTCTCGATCTGTTTGACTGCCTCGAGGAGCTGGACAATGCCTCCTTTGCCTATAAACAGAAGAGTGACCAGACTGATGGACGACAACAACAACAGCATCAGCAGACAACAGCTGACAATCATCATCAAACGAGGGGAGTGCTCAGCAAGGTGGCCGCCCCAACGACCAGTCAGATGATGCAGACTGCCAGTGCATATCAAAAGTTAAACACCTGGAACGACTACCTTGAGAATACGCGCAATAATAATCACCAGCAGATGAGCACTGCCAGCCGAGAGGAGGGAGAGATGAATGGAAGCATTTCTCGAAGTAGTTCACAGACAAAGCTGATGACACGAAAGCAGCTGATGAATCCTTTTGACTCGGACAGTGACGAGGAGATTGAGCTGCTCTCGAAGAATGAGTCTAAAAGTAAGCCCTGCTACCACTTGTAATCTCGGTCATTTTAACTGATTAAAATTTTTTTGCTATTTCCAGTAAACCACGAGCCAATGACGCCCTCCAGTAGCAGTACGGAGGACTCCTCTGAAGACCACCCTCGACCGACGTTTCCCGTGAGAAAGCCGCTTCAGTTTGCAAATAATAATAATGGTCGTGGAATATTCACTGCACCGGCGCCTCCGTCCAACTTCCCCACATACCGACCGCTGCCCACTTCTTACTCGACGGCCTCCTTTATCAACTACCGCCTTCCGCCCACCTCAGCCAGCTCCGTTCATTCGGGCCTCTCNTAATAATAATGGTCGTGGAATATTCACTGCACCGGCGCCTCCGTCCAACTTCCCCACATACCGACCGCTGCCCACTTCTTACTCGACGGCCTCCTTTATCAACTACCGCCTTCCGCCCACCTCAGCCAGCTCCGTTCATTCGGGCCTCTCTAAGATGACCACCCCGGAGCCGGTGGAGGTGGCGCCCGGCCTGCTGGACCTCTCCTCGGTGAAGGCGTACCGCCTGCAGCGTGCCTTATCAGCGCCCACCTGTCAGTCCCTCAGTCTGCTGGGCGAACAGCCACAACGACCGCAGGAGCGGGAGGCAGAGCTTAGAGAGCGGGCTAGACACCTCCTGAAAAATGTGAGAAAGGAAATGGAGGAGAAGAGAAAGGAGGAGAGTGCTGCAGCTGCCGCCGTTGCTGCACAACAAAGCAATTCCTCGTCACTTTCAAGGGTAGGAGTTACTTTTAAAGATTCTCTAGAGTTTTGTCAATATTTAATGGTGTTCTATAATACGTTTGCAGGAAGACGAACGTCAGCGAATGCTGCGTGAGCGGGCAAGGAAGATGATTGCTGATGCGAAGCAGGGCATCATCTCCACTGGCTCTACGAGCATCTTTGAGTCACCGATCTCATTTTCATCCAACAGCAACAGTACTACCAACTCTACAAATACGCCCGTTATGAGTCCGCTCGAGGGAGTTGG